ACTCAGTACTCAGATGACTTAGCACTCAGTGAGATGACTCAGTACTCAGATGAGTCAGTACTCAGTGAGAGGACTCAGTACTGAGATGAGTCAGTGCTCAGTGAGATGACTCAGCACTCAGTGAGATGACTCAGCACTGAGAGGACTCAGCACTCAGACAACAGTACTCAGTGAGAGGACTCAGTACTCAGTGAGATGACTCAGCACTCAGTGAGAGGACTCAGTACTCAGTGAGATGACTCAGCACTGAGAGGACTCAGCACTCAGTGAGACAACAGTACTCAGTGAGACGACTCAGCACTCAGTGAGATGGCTCAGCACTCAGTGAGATGACTCAGCACTGAGAGGACTCAGCACTCAGTGAGACAACAGTACTCAGTGAGAAGACTCAGCACTCAGTGAGACGAATCAGCACTCAGTGAGATGACTCAGCACTGAGAGGACTCAGCACTCAGTGAGACAACTACTCAGTGAGAGGACTCAGTACTCAGATGAGTCAGTACTCAGTGAGATGACTCAGCATTCAGTGAGATGGCTCAGCACTCAGTGAGATGACTCAGCACTGAGAGGACTCAGCACTCAGTGAGACAACAGTACTCAGTGAGAAGACTCAGCACTCAGTGAGATGAATCAGCACTCAGTGAGATGACTCAGCACTCAGTGAGACAACTACTCAGTGAGAGGACTCAGTACTCAGATGACTCAGCACTCAGTGAGAGGACTCAGTACTCAGATGAGTCAGTACTCAGTGAGAGACTCAGTACTGAGATGAGTCAGTGCTCAGTGAGATGACTCAGCACTCAGTGAGATGACTCAGTACTCAGATGAGTCAGTACTCAGTGAGAGGACTCAGTACTCAGATGAGTCAGTGCTCAGTGAGATGACTCAGCACTCAGTGAGACGACTCAGCACTGTCAGACGACAGGGGTAATCAGCTCAGATTCACATGGCTCATGTCTTGCCAGGCACTGCACCACGCCCTCTTCAGGCGTGCGCTTGGTGAGACCACAGTGTGGCTGGGACACAGCTGAGGACGCCAAGGGCAGAGTGCTTGGTAGCTGCCCCCAGGCGCTCAGCCGGGGTAGTCAGGACTGAGCACGGGAGCCCTGACAGCAGGTCTCTGTCGCGTGTCCCCACCACAGTGAGAGGCAGCTCAGCCTGCAGACGGGATTGCTCGTCTGAGTCACCGGCCAGTGCAGGCTGCGGGGAGGGCTCGCAGCCGAGATGGCCTCGGGGAGTCCTCCCCTCCCACCTGGCAGGAGAGGTGCCCCTGCCCTCCTGGGGTCCCCGTGTCCTTCCTTCCAGGCCCATGGCCACACCTCACCTCTGTACTCTTCGCACGCAGGTGTGCACACTCACACACGAACCTGCACACGTGCACACACCCACACACTCACACATTTGTGCATGCAAACACATGTGCACACCCGTACATGCACACATGTATACATACCCACACACGCACCTGCACATGCCCACACATTCACGTTTGTCCTTGCACGTGTACATGCCCACACATGCACACATGTATACACACCCCTTACACGTTTGTGAACACACACGTGCACACCCGCACATGCACACATGTATACACACCCCTTACACGTTTGTGAACACACACATGTGCACACCCACACATGCATGCGCATGCACTCAACCACACACCCACACATGTTTACACACCTACACACTCACATGTTTGTGCACACACGTGCACACACACACATGCACACATGCAGGCCTCTCCCTGGATTCCCTGTCTCTAGGTTTCCTCACAGAAGCCGGGACGCACATCCCCTGGGGTTGTGGGGGCTCTTCTCGGCTCCTCCCTGGCACGCGTGGCTGCTGGTGCACTTGAGCAGTTGCCAGGCTCTCCCTGCTCACAGGCAGTCCCCGTCCTGAGCAGGGCCTCCAGCCCGTGCGAGGCCCGCGACGCCTCTCTCTCAGACCGGCTGCACACACAGCAGAGGCTGTCCCTGTTCTCTGGCCTGCAGTGCCCTCCTGCCATTGCTGCCTTCTCCCGGGAGCCCTCTCCTGCCCACGTGCGGCCCCTCCCTGTGGGACGCTGACTCAGCAGGTCCTGGGGACGCTCTGTCCTCAGAGTGCCCTGGAGAGCCTGCAGCCTGAGAACCGGGCCGCCTCTGCCTCCGTCAGCCTCAGCCTTGTCCTCTGAACACTGGGCGGGATAGCAGTCGGGCCTCACCAGGTTGCCGTGCGAGTTACCAGAGAGAGTAGGTGATGCGCTTAGCCCTCAGCCTGCACCAGGCCGCACGGCCAGGACAAGCGACAGCCGAATCAGTCACGGTGAAGGTGGTCGTTTCTTGCCGCGGGCCGCGCTGTACTGTTGCAGTGTGACTTTCTCATGGGGGCAGCCTCCTGGGGGTCGGGTCAGCTGGGCCTGAAGTTCTGAGTTCCCGGACACCGTTCCTGAGGACGGTGGACAAGCCCCAGCCTGGGGTCAGGGCCCGTGCCAGCCCGGCCTGTGCCGCCAGCTCGGCGCCCCGACTCCTCCCCTGGGTCTCAGCCGCTGCCACTCCGCAGCACCCAGCACTGGGCTAGAGCAGCAAGCCGGCCACGCCCAGTCCTGACTCTGAGCCCGCGCTGGCACATCCTTCACCTCAGCCCTCAGCTCTGGCTCAGTGACACAGACGGAAGCCCCGTTTTGGCGCCGGCTCCATGTGTGAGGGAGGGGTGGGCGTGGAATGCTCACCTGGGCTCGGCCGGCCCGTGCTCTGTGGTGGTCTCGTTCCTGCTGTTCAGGCCATCAGCTCAGGTGAGCCTGTGTGTGTCGGTTCCCCGGGGCTTTTGCAGGGCCTGCACACTGGGTGGCCCTCACTGGAGTCTGCTCAGTTGTGGAGGTGGCCAGTCCGACCTACAGGAGCCAGTGGGCTGGGCCGTCCTGGGCCAGCGCGGGCTCCATGACAGGTCTGCCCGTGGCCTCAGGCCTCAGGCCTTCCCTGGTTTGTAGAGGGGCCCGTGGGCATCTTCACGCTGTCTCCCTCTGTGCACGTCGGTCCTGTGTCCGAATTCCCTGTTCTCACGAGGTCGCAGCCATGTTGGGTCAACGCCCCCCACCCCAAGGTGGCTCCTTGGTGGAATTCATCTGCTGCTCGCTGCAAAGCCAGCCGGGAGCCTGGGCCCAGGTGCTCTGGGAGTCGCCAGTCCCTCGTGCGAGCTGGGGAGGCCCTGGGGCCCTGGCGTGGGGACGGCAGACTGGGCATGTGGCGTTCCCCTCTCGGCCCCCTGCAGCTCTCGTGCTGTTTACACAGGACTTCTGGTCCTCCCGGCCCCTGGGTGGACGCAGTAAACACATTTAGAAGGTCCGTCTCCTGTGTGCACTTACTGAGGACGTGGAAAGATCTGGAAACGTGGACTGGGCGTCGTCCTTGGTAAGAATCTGTTGCTGGCCCCTAAGGCTCTTTATTTATAAGGATTTATGGAGGGTGAACCAACGGCAGAGGAAGACCTTTCTCTCTGTCTCTCTCTCTCACTGTCCACTCTGCCTGCCAAAAAAAAAAAAAATTATTAGAAAGGCAGAGTTAGAGAGAGAGAGAGAGAGAGAGAGAGAGAGAGATCTTCCATCTGCTGGTTCACTTCCCAGATGGCCACAACAACCAGGCTGGGCCAGGTCGAAGCCAGGAGCCTGGAACTCCATCCGGGTCTCCCACAGGGGTGCAGGGGCCCAGACACTTGGGCCATCTTCCACTGCTTTTCCGGGTGCATTAGCAGGGAGCTACGTCGGAAGTGGAGCCGCTGGGACTTGAACCGGTGCTCACGTGGGATGCTGGCATCACAGGCGGCAGCTTTACCCGCTGCACCGCAGCACTGGCCCCTCCTGCAGCTGTTTCCCAGTGTGCCAGCCCCTGGACCCCTCCCTGTGCTGCGTTCCCAGGCCCCTCCCACTCTGCAGGCTCAGTGTCTGGGATTTGCGTCTCCAGGAAGCCCCCCGACCCCCCGTGGTTGTGGCCCACCCCGTGTTTGAGAGCGGCTGCTGTCTCCTCCCACAGGGAAGCACCTCGCGTTGCTGGAGTCCGTGCAGGGCTGAGAGTGAGGTGCAGTCAGGCGCAGGTGTGTGGCCGCGGGCCCAGGGACGGCCGTGTGCAGAGGGGAGGGGTCCCGCAGCCAAGGCGAGGACCAGCGTGCTGGACGTGGGGAGGGCAGTGGTGTTCAGGTGCTGGGGGCGGCTGGGGGCGGCTGCAGGCTGTGTTTGCTGGCAGGTGAGCGTGTGTGGCCCCTGGGGCAGCAGGTGCAGGTGGGGCTGTGGGAGGGCTCTGTGGCTCAGCTACCCGCCCCTGCGTGTTTCTGTTGTTCCCACGTGACCTCTGCACAGCATTCGGGGAGCACGGGGCCTGGAAGGAGCGGCTGACGTGGTCCAGCTCCCGAACCGTGGTCACCCTGCTAAGCCCCCCTGAGCCCCTCTCATCTGTAAGACGAAGGTGCAGATGTTTTCCTGGTTTCTTCTCCTGTTGCGAGAGCTGGGGGCAAGGCTGTGGCTCGCTCACCTGTGGGGTCCACGGCCGGCGTCGTTGGGTGGAGGCCCCCAACTTCGTGAGACCTGAGGTTCCTGAGGTTCCGGGAGGCAGTCAGGGCGGGGCCTCAGTCCACGGGGCTTGGGGGTCAGCGCAGGACTCAGGGCTTGGACTGGGACAAGCGCAGGGCCTTGGCTCTGGACAGCACTGGTAACAGTCACAGTGATGGCGAGGCTGGAGAAGTGTTTGCCCCGCAAGCCACGCCCGGCTCCGAGCACTTTGTGCGGGACCCAGCGAGTTCAGTACTGCCGCTGCGCTCGTTTTGCAGATGGGGAAACTGAGGCCCAGAAAGAGGCGTGCGTGGGGCAGAACTGAGACAGATCCACGCCCGCTGACTGGGCCCTCAGCCCCCTCCCCGAGTACAGGGTCTGGCAGCTGTGATCTCCCTCGTGCGCACTGTGGGTGTCATTGGGGGTGCGTGCCGGCATGCAGCCTCCTGAGACTTCTTCTCTTTCTCCTCTCTCTGCTCAGGGCAGGGTCTTCAGCAGCAGAGCGCACCTGGCCGCTCGTCAGGGAAAGCAGCCGGCCCGTTTCTGAGCAGCCTCCGGGCCGCCGGGGGCTCCCGACCAGACTTCCTGCAGCCTCGGGCGCCCAAGGCCACGTGGGTTGTCTGCCTGGACCTGCTTGAGGTGGCAGACGACAGGGAGCGAGCCGGAGTGACGGTCACCCCAGAAGTCGCATGCGTGTACTCCACGCTTCAAGCCCGCCATGGATGATGGGTACCGAAACAGCCCGAACCTCTACCACGGAGCGAGGGACGTAGCTGGCGAGGCGGCCAGGCAGTCCTGGAACCAAGGCATGGAGGGCTCCAGTTACCAGGACGGCTACGAGGGCTACTACCGCGGCAACGAATCGAACCCGGAAGAAGACGCGCAGAGTGACGTCACCGAGGGCCATGATGAGGACGACGAGATCTACGAGGGCGAGTACCAGGGCATCCCCCACCCGGACGACGCCAAGGCCAAGCAGGCCAAGATGGCGCCCGCCAGGGGGGACAGCCTCCGGGGCCGGGCGGACCTGCTGGCCGAGAGGATGGAAGACGAGGAGCAGCTGGCCCACCAGTACGAGACCATCATTGACGAGTGCGGCCACGGGCGCTTCCAGTGGACTCTCTTTTTCGTCTTGGGCTTGGCCCTCATGGCCGACGGGGTGGAGGTGTTTGTGGTGAGCTTTGCCCTGCCCAGCGCAGAGAAGGACATGTGTCTGTCCAGCGCGAAGAAGGGCATGCTGGGTAAGTGGAAGCTTCCGGCGATCATGCTCTGGGTGGCGTGGCCGTGGTCACTGACACGGAGAGGGGAGGGGAGGTAGAGATGCGTGGCACCTGCCACTGCTGGGCACCTTGCATTTCCTGCTAAGTGTTTCTGTCTCGGGAAATCGACCGGCCCAGGTTCTGAAGTCACGAAGCCTGGGTCCCTGCCTTCAGTCTCAGGTCACATCTCAATACTCCTGTCTGCTCGTAGTTTCTCGTTAAACCACCTTGGCTTCCGGAGGACGGCCACACAGGGGAGTGGCGGGCCTTCCTTTATGCACCTTGCCAGAGCCCAGCAGCCTCTGCCCTGGTTCCTCGGGTCAGTGTTAGTGGCCGAGGGACCCTGAGCCGGGGGCATGAGTGACACGGGAGCTCGTGCCGGCTGTGGGGACCCACGCTGGGAAGCACGGGCGGAGAGAGGAGCAGCACTCAGAGCCCGGCGTCAGGGGCGAGATGAGTGAGGGGGTGGCGCGGTGCGCAGCAGGTGCACCACGGGGGCGGGGCACGGCTCGTCCCGGTCACGAGGGCTCCTGAAACCTGCCCACTCTGCAAGTGCAGAGACCTTGCAGCGGGTTGGTCAGCAAGCACGCAGGTGTTGAGCGCTCGCTCTGGGTCGGGGGCTCCTCAAGGGGCTCCGGGGTCAGAATCTGTGGGTTCCTCGGTGTCTGTTCTTGTCTGTGGGTTCCTTGGTGTCTGTTCTTGTCTGTGCCCCGGAGCCTGGGGACAGGAGAGCCCGGCCTCTCAGATCGACATGCAGCGGACAGCAGGGGGCTGTGCAGTCACTGTGAGACCCTGGGGGCTCCTCGGGGAGTTCCGGGCCCAGTACTGGCTTCAGAGCAGGGACTGGCAAACACCTCCTCAGAGGCCCAGAGCAGAGGCCGCAGGCCCCACGGCCTCTCCCAGGGCCGCTCACCTCTGCTGCTGCGGCACGCGAGCAGCCGCAGACGGTGGAAGCCCTGGCCGTGCCTGTGTTCCAATAAAACTTTATTACAGCAGCAGGCGGTGAGTCAGCATGGTGGCCCTGATGCAGAGTCGCTGGGATGTAAAATAAAGAAAACACCTGCAGAGAGAGTTAGACATTGTCAGACTCGTGCTGACCAGGGGGCTGTTGGGAACGATCAGAACCGCGTCCGTACGCCCTTTATGGAGCCAGAGTCAGTGGAGCGTACGAGACAGAACCGCTTGGGAAGCAAGGGTGTGGCTCCGAGTTCCCAAGCACCAGCCGCGTTTTCGTAAAGTTTAAAATATATGTGGTGAGAAATTCTGCCGGCTGCCTTTCCCTTTGAATATCTATTTAAACAAACACTAGATTTCAGACAGGTTTTAACCAAACACAAATCCCCAAGAAAACAGCAAGGCACCTGCCCCGGGTCTGGGTGTTCCCTAGGCGTGCGTTTGTTTGTGGTGTCCCCACGAGCTGCGGGCGGCCGTGAGTGCACACCTGCCCGGCCGGTAATGACTGCACCCCTGCCAGCCCCCGGCGAATGCCGTGAGTTGTGCCGAGAGCCCACTGCTGTGCTGTTCTGCCTGCAGCATCTGCCCGGGAGCCTGCGCCGTGCCTCAGCCCGGGGTGGGAGAGGGCAGACCTCCTGCACGGACACAGACTCCCAGTGCAGGTGGGACGCAGCGTCCCAGGCAGCAGTCTGTGTGCGTGGAGGGCCGTGGGCCACCTGAGGTCTCGGAGGCCGGATCTGGGAGCAACATGGGGTCAGGCCCACGGGGAAATGGATCCGCACAGTTCCAGCTGTGGCACCCCACACAGTGCCAGGCAGGCTGTGGCTCCAGCCTGTGGGCGTCCTGCTATGCCACCCTGCCTCCCTATCCCGCGTGGTCTGTGGAAAGAGGTCCCACCATGGCTCAGGCCTCTGCCCATGTCACCGGGTACCGGAGACGTCTCAGAACACAGACGGCTTCCCACGGAAAGTGAGCGTGGTGCAGCGCGCGGCGGGGCAGCAAGTGGTGTCCGTCATGGGCCAGGGGCTGGGGTGAGTTGTAACTGGGACTCAGTTTTCCATGTGTGGAGGGAGGAGGGGAGGACCCACGGAGGCTGGGCAGGGGGCAAAGCCAGGCCTCAGGGCCTCCAGGCAACCACTGGATCCATGCGGTGCCGGCTTCCTCTGCCGGTCCTCAGCAGGGCGGCTTCGGCAGTTACTGCACTTGGCTGGGCCTTGGCTTTCTCACCTGCGTGGCACAGAAGACCATGACATCTGACCCCGGGGGTTTGTGGGGACTGAGTGAGTTCAACGAGCTTGGCTAAACCAGTGCCTGCAGGTCACAGGAGCCGAGGATGGCCGTTACCGGGACTGCTGGTTATGGTTATTGTGGTTACTAAGCCATGGCTCCTACAAGTCACAGGTGCGGGGGTGGCCCAGTTACCATGACTCCTGGTTATGGTTATTGTGGTTACTAAGCCATGGCTCCTGCAGGTCACAGGAGCTGAGGATGGCCGTTACCGTGCCTGCCGGATGCGGCTGTGGTTACTAACCCATGGCTTGATGAGCAGGAGCCACCTGGGCTCAGAGCGGCTTCTGTCAGGTGGCGTTGCGCGTTTCCATTTCCCTCAAGGAAGTCGGCTGCTGTGGGCTGTGCGTGGGGCAGAGGCTGCCCATCCCCCAGCACTGGCCGTACGCTCGCTCCTGCTCCTGTCTCTCTGCTGTAAGAGAAGCGCTGTAGAGGGGACGCCTGTGGGCATGGCTCCTGGTTGGTGGTCCCCAGGAGAATTCAGTAAGAGAGCGCCGCACCCCCATACTCAGTTCTTGCCCTCTTTCCTTCGTGAATAGGAACAAATCAGTTCAGACAATTGCAGAAGTGTCCCTCGGCCAGGTGACGAAAGAAGCGGGTGACGCTGTGTGCCCCTCCACTGAGCTTCCTGCTTCCCAGATGTTTCAGGGGACCCTCACCCCGAAGTCTCACTGGGGGAGGGAAAGAGACCACGGTGGGCAGCTGTTAGCACGCAGGCTCAGCCCTGCTCGGCCCCTGCAAGGCAAGGAGGGAACAGCACCCCGGGCCGTCCACCCTGCGCTGTCGCACACGAGGCAGACCAAGTCCCAGCACAGGCCGGGTCTTGTTGCAATGGCAGGGTGGCGTCCTGTCCACAGAAACACCGGACGGGGACAGCACAGCACGGTGGTGCAGTGCGACATTGTGCGTCCCTGCTTTCCCCGGGCAGGCGACCTGGCCTGCAGCTGCTCTCCTGTCTCCTGTTTGCGCGCGTGGGCTGATCTGAAGCCCTCCTTCTGGGCGCGCACGACGTTAGGTGGTTGATGAAGGTGCCCGCACGTCTTTCCATCTCCTTGCAGGCGCTACTTATGCATCGTCTGTATCAGTGTTTAAAAACATCAACCCGACGACAAGACTTTAAGGGGAGGACGTTCAGGGCTTCCCGGGACGATGACGCGGCCATCTGTCAAATGACTTCAGTGTGCTGGCGTCCCAGAGCCTCGTTTGCTTCAGCTGGGTGGGCACTCGATGTGGGCGACACCTGAGGAGCTCCCAGGGACCCTCTGCCTGCATCTGACAGACGGACGCGGGACTTCTCCTGCACTCCCGCAAGCCCTCCAGCCCCTGTGGCCGGGGGCTGTCACCCGCCTTCAGGTGTCCCAGGTTCTCCCGAAGCCTTTGGGTTTCCTGGAAGGCTCAGTGCCCGGGGCTGTGTTTCATCAGTGTTTTTCTTGCCGTCTTTAGTGGGAAGATGCTGGCAGTCTGTGCTTCGGACAGAGGTGTCCACCCCAGCCGGGAGTCCTGGGCTCGGCGCCTGTGCCAGCTGTCCCGGGGACACGGCGGTGTCAGGCGGGAGGTTCACCAGGCGGCCCGGGAGCTGAATTTCCATAGCAGCTCGGAGGCGGGCGTGCTGCTCTGCTGTCGAGAGAGTTCGTCCTCTAATTGTCCCGCTGAGAGTGCCAGCTGAGGCAGGGCAGGGCGCTTACCTGTGAGCCATTGGTTCTTACTTTCAGCTCTGAATTCAGAGTGTCAGCTCCTGGGGGGGGGGGGGGGCGGCCCTGTCTCCCGGCTCCGGCACAGGACGTGAGCTCAGTAGGCAGCGACGCCTGGGAGCACCACCATGCGTTCCTGTCTCTGTCCCTGTCCACCACCCGCCTGGATCTGCGTCTGCCACGTACCATCCGTCTACATCACCTCTGTCTGTACCTGCCACCTGTCTGCATCCGTGTAGCATCTGCCCGTCAGCCTCCGTATCTGTCAGTCATCGAACGCTGTGTTTGTCATCCCTCTGTATCATCTGTTCTGTGCTTCAGCTCTGCACCGTCTGTCGTCCGCGTCTGTCTGTGTGTCATCTCTCTCTACCTGCCTGCCTGTCAATCGAGAGCCGAGGGTCTGGCTCTTACCTCCAGGGTTGTTGGGAGTCGTAGTGAAATCGCTGGGGCTCGGGGCCTGTGTGCAGTCAGCACTGCTCTAGCGAGCCCAGTGCCCTCAGGTGTGCGTCAGTGTGCATCAGGTGTACGTCAGGGCATGTGTCAGGGCATCAGGTGTGCGTCAGGGTGTCAGTCATGCATCAGTGAGCGTCAGGCGTGTGTCACTGAGTCAGCATGCATCAGTGTGTCAGGTGTGCGTCAGTGTGCATCAGGTGTACGTCAGGGCGTGAGGTGTACATCAGTGCGCGTCACTGAGTCAGGTGTGTGTCAGGGCATCAGTGTGTGTCAGGGTGTCAGTCATGCATCAGTGAGCGTCAGGCGTGTGTCACTGAGTCAGCATGCATCAGTGTGTCAGGTGTGTGTCAGTGTCATGTGTCAGTGTGCATCAGGTGTGCATGAGTGTATCACTGAGTCAGGTATGCGTCAGTGTGTCAGGTGTGTGTCAGTGTCATGTGTCAGTGTGCATCAGGTGTGCATGAGTGTATCACTGAGTCAGGTATGCGTCAGCGTGCGTCGGGGTGTCAGGCGTGTGCCAGTGCACGTCAGGTATGTGTCAGGCGTGTGTCAATGTGTCAGGTGCACGTCAGGTGTGTGTCAGGTGTATGTCAGTGC